TCCTCCTGTCTGCGAAATAGAATTTGACTCGCGTCCGTTTCATAGAATCAAAAGAGAGAACATGCACGTTCATATTATTTTCAAAAAAAAAAAAAAAAAAAAAAGAAAAAAACAAAACGCGAATAAATGCGCATAAAACAAAAACGAATTAACGCCAAGTGTGTTTCGTCAGATCGTATGTCTCATTCTCACGCCACGTTCGATCATCTCGTGGAAAATCCTCACGCCGGTATGTGAATCTTCCCGTTGTGCGAGCGCAATTCCCGCCCCCGCCTCGGAATTATTTCTTAAGCATCGTCTTCGCACCTGGAGAAAGCACCGTGTTATTTTCCCGACGCGCGTCTCGCGCAACAAAACAAACAAGGGCTATTGCCGCACGTAGGGCGCATCATCCGTGCCGAGCTCGGTAAGTATCGTTGCACACATGCCGATAGTCGCGCATTTCAGGGCCGCCGCCGCCGCCGCCGCCGCCGCCGCCACGCTATACGATGCATCGTCGATGCGCGCTGCATTGTTCGGGCATTTCTCGATGTGGCATCGCGTCGGTGTGCGCTACGTGCCGTACGGTGATTTGGCTAACCACACGTTTGTTGAGCCATCGGCGGCATCCGGCATTGTTTGCTCGCTTTGATGAGGCCAATTCGCGTTTCGCTTTTGCGTTCGCGTTTCGTGTGGGATGCGCGCGCGCGCGCGTGCGCTCGTGCGCGTGAAGCGTGCTCCGCGTATATGTATGTGTGTATGTGCATGTACTAGCTCGTGCGTGCGCCTGCCTCGGCCGCGCGCGCGTGCACACACGTAGGGTACGCGAGAGTCTGCGTATGTCATTAGTGACCCTGGAGGTGACCCCGGGATTCGCTCTCACCATACCGGACTATCAACACCAACCACCGTGCACCACCGACAGAGAGAAGCTCCATTATGCGCTCCTAACGATATACATCCCAACTCGGCGCACGAGACATTGTGTCGCACGTCACCGTATTATATCGCGCTCGATGATTCGACGCGTTTTCACCTTATATCTAGTTGGCGCGAAATACCGTGGGATTACGTTTAGTTATATGGCTGTAGCTTTTTCTCAAGGGTCTGAGTGACAGAGACACCGTGCGGTGTTTCAGTTGCTCGTTCTATGCTTGTTCTATGGGAATTGTTTGACCGAGGAGAAGCGTTCATAAACAACGCGGACAAGGCAACGCGAACGAGGACTTGAGAAACGCGATCGATCCGACATGGGACGTTTGTCTGCTGCGGAAGAAGAGTAGTGGTTATACCCGCGCGGCCCGCCCGCGCACGTATATAATACGATACTGCTTGGTCGTATCCCCGCGACGTTCCGAGTCCGCCAAACTAGTAACTGGTGGTGCTATTAAATGCAGACACGAGCGAGCGCGGCCCGGAAATTGCCTAATTTCCTGAGTGCGCGCGCCGATCCGTCAACCTGACGTGACGGGGGACGTGGCTGCACGGAATACCGTGACTTTTAATGTCAAGTGTCGAAAGAAAACCCGGTTATATCGGCGCCGGGCTATATAAGGCTGGACCGACGGATATGTACATATATATTATATATATATATATATATATATGTGTGTATATATATATATATACGTCGCTCTCTCGCTCAAGTGGATTTCCGTTCGAGTCGAGCGCCGTCGTCGCCACGACACGAGAGTCTCTCGTGTGTTTCGCGCGCGCGGCTTGATCCCCAATTGCCTCGGCTAGCTCTATTCGCGTCTACATCGGAAACGGATATACGCTTCTCGTTAGATTAATCGCAATCGCACGAATGCTCTTGACGGTGGCAACACGCACGGACACGATGCGGCCGGTCGTGTTGCGTCTCCTCGCGTGTTACAGCCCCTTAACCTGATGGATTGGATGTGTTTACGCTTAATAATTATTACGTATATAATACCTTTATCTACGGCGATGTATTTGTTGAATTCTCCACTGGAACGTACACACATCGCTATAGATGCAATAAGCTCTCAGAATGAGTAGGTATAGCTGCTGGGGAGAAAAAGATTAGACGTTCGACGCGGGTCGTCGGCGATAGAGACTCTTAATCCGTGGGCTCAATGTTTTCCGAAAGGAGAAGGGTGACAGTAGATAAGAGAAAATCCACAATTAAGAGGCGTCAATCGTTTGTGACACGCGTTCTCCACTCTTCATTACGTGACGTATAAGGGACGTTTCGGAATCTTCTCTTAATGATCACTTCACGAGAGAAAGAGAGAGAGAAATAAAGAGATACTACAAGTTAAGCTAAAGATAATATTTTGTTTTAATCGTTAAAGCTTTTTGAGCGACAAGAGTTTCACTTACGTCTAGATGAATAATAAATATAGATCTGTTTTTAGTTTTTGAGGAATATTTGTCAATATCTCAGAGAAAGTTTTTTTCTCGCATAATTACAACAAAAGAAATTTACTCTCTTTCTCTCTCTCTCTCTCTTCGATGGATAAAAGAAATTCATATTTCTCTTTGTCTCTATCTCTTTTATTCCGATGCGCGCTATTCAACATAGCGCTCGGCGAAATATCGATAAGAACAGTTTTCCTACGAGTTGTCCGCGCGTGGCTAGTGTACGTTGGTGGCAATCTCCGCGTCAGAGCCGTGCGATGTCGTATCTGTACCACCAGATGCCACATGCGCCGCGTGCAGGGTCGACGAGAAGCAGGACGAAAGGGGGGTCGCCGTACAGTCTCTCCCTTCCCCACTACGGACGAATGGGCGTGTATTGGCGTCCCCACCAGCCGAGTCTCTTCTCCTACGACCCCTCCGTCGCTTTCCCCACCTGGTGAGCCTGGCGACTCTGTGACCGTGAGATCCCACACGGACGGACGCGGTGGCGCGCGGCGAGGAGGACGGTGGGACCATTCTCGTGTCGCCTCGAGAGTCCCCTACTTTGCCGTGTCGTCCGCGCGCACTGTCCTCCGTGGCCGCCGCGATCCACGCCTTCCACCTCTTCCCATTGGCCCGATCTGTCCCCAGAGTCCTGGTGACACACGCCCCTCCTCGTCGTTCTCCAGGAATCAAGCCGCGGCGCAGGAGATCGCCGCTCCAGCGGCGCTGCTCCTTGCTCCGAGAACGGCGGAAAGCGGTCGCCCGAGGATGTCCTTAGGTGCGCGTCTGTCCAAGGATTGATCGGGTTGCCTCGGGTTGGGCGTGTACGCGCTCTATCGCCTCATGCCGAGAGAGAAAACGCGACGGAAATACAGAGAGAATCCACGCCCGAGAAACATCTCGATTCCGTATAATCGCCTAACTGCATTAGTGCAGTTCTCCTCCGCTTCTCAACTTACATCAGCATGTTAAATCTCCGACCAAGGGAAACCAATGACCAACGTTCCTCGCGCGATTTGTAATCATCGCTCACGCGGTTCTTCCACCGAGTAATCTATATATTTACAAAAACTCCGTATTGACATTACATTTTGTGTGAGCCTTTTATTAAGTCTTTTCGAGATAAGAAAGAAAAACTACAATTTCACACGCTTAAATTATATACAGCGGAAATATAATGTTTGTGAAATGTAATGTTGTCTGATTTTCAGATATTTCAGACGATTAGGATATCGAAGATACGAAAAACGTAAGAGAAGTGGCGATCAATATAATGTACACGAGTATGCAATTTAACTTACACGCTTGTTTTTCTTCTCATGCCGCTCGAGCGGAGCAGACCGTCTCCACCTACTGTCGATTGGACAGCTGGGAAGCGCAGCCCGATTGCGTAACGGGGACTATATTCGCCCGGTCGTAAAATGTAATCGCTCCGCTATGCCCGAAGCAGCATAGTCCGCGATAGGGCTGTTGGTAGAGAGACGCGCATTATCTTGCGGTATAACTGATAGTATAGAATCACGCATGTCACGGATGATTTTTAGATCCGGATATGTCTGTTGAGATCGCGAAATCATGAACTTTGATAATAATTGCATCGAGCGTACATATCCCGGATATGTAACAAATATATATTCTATATACGTTGAAACACGCGTTGTATCTACACCCGATATTTACAAATTGTCTCTTATCAAACGACTCGACTTAATCTACCATCACAAGCGCATTAGTCGTTTGAATTTTGCTGTCGCTGTTACTTTTTTTTTTTAAATAGAAATAATGCAATCGTTATCCGTCACTTTTCAGCGGGCAAAGTGTAGCAGAGAAACCATCTCGATTATCTTTTTTTTTTTACGTTCAGTATGTACGAGTCTAGATCAAATAGACGGAATTGTGTGATCGTCGATATTACAATAGAGAGCGAGAAGGACGCGAAATCCATTTCGATTCGCTCGGTATAATTAAACACGCGCCCGCGACTAGTCGATCAGGTCGATCGTTATCGAGCGTTGCCTCGATAACACGCACGCTCTTGACAGTCCATTCGGCGGAAAGGTCGCGGGACGAGTGCGCGCAAGGCAAAGCGAATGCAACGACGGCTTTGTCTCGTTACGCTAGCAGACCGGCATCAGGCAGCAGCGAGATGCGTCTGCCGAGAATAAGAGAGAGAGAGAGAGAGAGAGAGAAAGAGAGAGAAGAACGAGGAGTCAGCAAGGATGATCTGAACGCTGCCTGAGCTGAAGATGGAGGCACGATAACGACGACGGAAATTGAATTCTCTCACCAGTCATCCCGCTGCGAAGAGAGTGCATGCACACACGCATCGATTCACCCCGCGAGTCGTATAAGCTGAGTATCGACGCGGCGGGAGAAAGAGAGAGAAAAAGAGAGAGAGAGAGAGAGAGAGAGAGAGAGAGAATGAGAGAATGAGAGAAAGAGAGAGAGAGAGAGAAAGAGAGAAAAGGGCGGTATATGGCGTGCTAGAGAGAAAGAGTAAGAAAGAGAAGAGAACTCTCACAGTTCCGTCCTTCCTGCTCCTTTTGTCTCGGCAACGCGGTACGGATGGGTGCACGTAGGCTACCTCGAAAGGCGAAGCTCTCGCAACGGCCGCTCTACGTACCTGCGGCATCAGCAGCCGCGCCGTCCGTTTTACCTGCCATGCGAGACAAAACACGGGGAGGAGGTGCTTGTAAAAAAAAGAACGTCCTTTTCCTCATAAGGAGGAACTCCATCGACACGATAAATACGAGCTCGAAGAATCGATGAGTTTAGTTCATAAATTTTCTTTACAAAGTCCTTTGATGTGCAAAACAAGCCTTAGAAATTCTATCACTGTTTCTCTTCTGCGACGTTATAAAGTTTAATAAAGTTCAAACGGTCTTCAAACGAGGACGACTTCTTTGTTTGCTAACGTATATTTTGTTGTTGTCTTCGCGCGGGCTTGTGCACAACATCAACGGTCTGGTTAGTAAAATCGTACCTAGGAGCATGTCCAATCGACATTACGATAATTTATGGCTTAAATAAATGCCCGATCGGTGTTCGAGCGTGTACAGGTATCAATTTACATGACGCAACGGATATGTAACCTGATATATCGTGTGGCGGCGGTACTGGCAGACTCGCGCTCGATGGTTCTCGTCGTAACTACTGGCACGGCCGACATGTAGTAGAAACGCACGAAAAAGAATTGTAATCTCTCTCTGCAACACAGAAAAAAAAATATATAAAATACAAATTTTACATTTTCCGCCGCACACACACACACACACACACATACACACGCAACGGACGTAACCAATTGTCACATCGGATATTAAATGTGAATTGTTGCGTGAGCAAACGAGTCAGGTTAATGACTTCGTTGTGTAACAAAACGTTATATACATAGACATGCCTCGTAACTCGAGATTCGCGAATAACCGAGATCGCAATTTTGCATCGATTCGTCCTGAATTCGATGATGAACTCTGTATACATATATTCAACCTAGTGTAACTAGCCGTCTCGGTTTTATCGAATTTATGTGATTTCCACGATGTTTAATTGAATATACAATACATATACGCGAGATTACTAACCGCTCTGTTTTTATATTTTCGCAACTTTTATTTTTCGCACTGGTGTATTTTTTGTCGCCGTCAATTTGCAGTCGCGTACAATCACGTCAGTGATATCATTTTAGAGCAAATTTCGTACCTGATTAATTAATGCAGTCATTTTGACACAGACGAGAGATGTATTATTTAACATACAAACAAAACTGTAAAGTGGAAACTAAATGACTCGGATTTAAATTCGCGTGAAGTTGCATGTTTTATATTTACGACTCCGACATGAACTGTCAAAAACGATCCACGCGACTCGTTGACATTTCCAAGCTGCGTTCCAAAACTCGACGGTAGAGTTGATTGGCCAATCAGAAATCTCTCCTGATTGGTCAATCAAATCGTGACGAGCAAAAATTTTGGAAACGCGGTCCGAGTGTGTGGGGCGATTTCTTAATCTAGTGCATGTTTATAGTCGCGGTCGTACGTGCTCCGGATCGGACGGATTTGGTGATGAACGAAAATATGATTCCAAGAGCGAGCGACGCTCCCGACGGGATCGGCGAAAGCGCGAGGGACCCACAAAAGGTGAACCCACTTGGTGGGTCTGCTGTCGGTGACGGGGTGGCGGTGTATACGTACGCTCGCGGAAGGCGGGAGGCGGCCGGAGGTTAGTTCGTAGGTTGGTAGAGAGATATATCGGAGCTCGGCTCCACTCGGGCGGTTTCGTGGGTTTCCGCTGACTGGTGGTAACCGCCGCGCGCCGCGCACCTCCGCGCAAGAGTTTCACGCTGCGTGGAACGAAACTCGTACGTACGCGATCAGCTCGACCGAGGCGGCCGGTCTTCCTTTGCGTATCGGGTCCTGCTGTGTTTCGCGCCGGCCGACAGCCTCTCTCATCACCTCGTGATAATAACGCGCGATTATTCGCGAAGACGACACGACACAACAAGCGACGACAACGACAACAGTGGTGAGTGTCTTTGTGTGAGCTTTGAACATCATACATACAACGTTACACGCGTCACACGTATGTACCCACCCACACGCGCGTTTTATCGGTAAGGTCGCACAAAGGCGCGAAACTGTCCGATATTCAACGTGATATTCCTCCGCGCGAAAGATTTCGCGATGCGTTCTCGAGGCAGTGTACCGTGAAAAGAGTTCTCGCGGCTGCAACGACGGCGATAACGGCAAGAAAACGCGCCAATCGCGCGTCCGGTGTTCGCGTGGTGCTTCACGCTCGGCGGTTTGTCGCAGAAGAGGAGAGGGAGGCGGAGGGACTGGAGGAGGAGGAGGTGGAGAAAGAAGAGGAGGAGGTGGCGGACGAGCGAGGGTGGTGAGAGCAACGGGGGAGAGGAGTACATCGCGGGAGATCGCGTGAGAGAAATCGGAGCGTGTCTGTGACATTTCTTTTTTTGCTCCTCTCTCGATCCGGCGTTCCGTAAAAAAGATAGAGAATTCTTCCCGCAAGATCGTTCCTGATTCGACGAATGACAGGGGAGAGTCGAAAGATATTCGCCGCTGGTTTAGCATAGCCAGGTAACGATCCGGCTCGAGGGAAAATCGGAGTCGTAGGCGGGGCTTAAGGTCGGTGGACACGTGACACGGAAACTGTCACGCCGCCCTTGCCCTCTCCTCGTATTCCCCCCTCCACACAACCGAAATCCAGTGCGACCCACTGGAGAGGACGACGCCCGAGACAAACTCGCACGTGTGTGTGTATGTGTGTGTGTGTGCGCGCGCGTTCGTCGCCTCGCTCCGTAGCGTAGAGAATCGTGGAGAATTTCACGATGTAGGACTAAGACGCGATCACGAATGCTCCGGGACTCTATGTCAGCTATGCGCTCGCTGTACTCTGCACACCCCTCATGGCGTGACACTGACAGAATTCTGACATCCCCAAACTATGCGATGCGATCCAGGATCGCAGTGTTACAATTTCCTTTCATCCTCTTCTAATTCACCAGGATCAAATTCACAGGTCGAATTATTTTTGAGAGATGTAAATAATAACTTTTGCATTTAAATAATAATGCGCATCAGATTTCACTGTGATCCATCGTGCGCCCTAGTGTCCGTTACCGCACCTCTTTCACGCAATTTCACAGTTAATCGACCATCGACGACAACAACGATCGGTTTGCCACAATCGATCAACATCTTACCGCACCGCAACAACTTGGCGCTCGTTCCAACTCGCAAGACGATGACGCCGTCGTGGTTGTCCGAGGAACGCCGTCGCGGCGTCGACGCGTGAATCGACCCGAGAATGCAGCAGGCGAGCGTGGGCGGCTGCGACGAGGACTTCGGTGTGACGAGTCCTCCGGCGAGATCGCCGGCCAGCTTCGCGATCAAGAGCGAGCCCGTCGTCGCGGACAGAAACGACGGGGTGAGAGTTAAGGTCGAGATGCCCGAGCCCACGGAGGCCGGCGTCGAGGTCAAAGGCGAACCGCGGGAGGACTATCAACGGCAGCTCAGCAACAGCGACAGTTATCACTACAGCGACAAAAAACCGGGATATGTTCCGGACACTCCACAACAGTGTCAACCACCGCCGCCACCGCCGCCGCCGCCGCCGCCGCCGCATCAAGGATATCGTCCCTTGGGACTGCCTAACTCCTTCGGTTTTTCTCCCTTTTACGGACATCATCATCATCATCCGGCCATGATGCCGACGTCCTTTCCGGGCGGGCGTCCGTCACCGGACGGACCGATCAACAAGATCAGCGACAGTCACGAGCAGACGACGTCGCACGTCGACAGACACGCGGCCATCTACGGCAGGATGCCGCCGATTCCCAACGACGCCGGCTTCCTGCACGAGCATCACCATCGCTTCGACGCCAGCGACTTTCAGCACGCCGCCAACGTGCCGTATCCAAACTTCCGCTCCTCCGTGCGCTCACCCTACAGCAATCACCAGAACAACAGCGTCTACAACAGGAGTAGCCACTATCATCCGGCCAGACAGCGCAAGTGGAGCAACGCTGCGTTCCGCGGGCTGCATCCACCGATGCCTGTGAGTTTGTTTCTGTTTTCCTCTGTTATTTTCTAATCAAACGGCGTTACGGGTTTCTCTTATCTTTCAGTAAGTGTTTTCGTTTGTTTTTGCCAAAACTTTGAATTTGCTTTGCAATATTATTTTTGTTTTGTATTGTTTTTTGGCAATCGGTATTTTTTTATTTACCTTAACAAAAAGACAGCTGTTTTCAAAACGAAAACCTTCAAGATAATTCTGTATAAATGTTCGTTGACACCAAACTGTACGTACATTCCTTTGAAAAAACAAAAAAAATCTTACTTGATGCGTTAGTTATTATATTTCGCATTGAATTACGCGGTTATTCGGAACGGTGTGGCACTTATTGAGGGAACAATGCCTCTGTGACGAAAGCGAGACTATCGCCGTGATCGCGCCGTGATCTTATTGAGAACTCGGATAAGATCGGTAATCGGAGAACGGAGATAGCATCGGTGATCTCGACGATGTCGACGTAGGCGGCGATAGAAATTTCGTTTTTTTTTTTCTTATCCTTTGGCGTATGCGAATTATCGCCAAGAGGAATAATTAAAATAAAATTTCCAAACGTAACCGGTATGTCAATGCTTTTCTGTATTTCATTTCGAGCAACGCTTTGTAATACGCTCTATCGTAAATTTTCTCACAATTTTCTAATCTTTCACGCTCTCGATTGTTGTGATCACTCCGAGATATATAAAATTTATATTCGTCAAAAAAATAAAAGATAGTTACACAGTAAAGTGTGTACAGAGATGTATAATTGCCACGTTGTTTTTTGAGTAAATATTGGATCGCCGAAATTGGGGGAGGGGGGAGACGGAAAAATTACGCGTTCACGAGAGAGAGAGCAGAAAAAACGCGCGTCAAAGGTATAATAAGAAAGTGCTATGTAGCGTTAAGGATCTGACACAATTAGCTCGTCACGCCGTGTTATCGTTTGCAAAGAGCACTATGGGGGTGTGCGCCGGCATTAACCCTTCTCAACCCTGTGACAGCCACTTTGCCGCGTTACATCATATTCTATTTGCATACAGATCGAACATATAGACACGTTTATTTTGAACAAAGATATATGTTCTGTTGTTTTCTTTTTTTTTCGTATACGTTTCTATATGTGTGTAAAACAAATGAAGAGATCTCGCACGCGTTATTTAGTTCGAGAATAAATACAACACACAAAGGAAATTCGTCTCGACGCGCAATGCTTTTTCGCAGTTATTACACACCGTCCAGTGATTGGGAAAAATCAAATCTGATGTTTTACATAGCAGCTAGCTTTTGTATTTCCCACGATTTTTTGCTTCCGTTGAAGACATTGTACGAGACTTCAATTGAAATTGCCGGGTCGGAATGAAGGGTTAATGAAATCGGACGAGACGTCGCGATTACCCGGCCAAAAATTGCGCCTCGGCCGAAATTACAGTGATTACACGCGCCGCGGATGTGGTTCTGCCCCTCGGGAGAGAACGCCGCATTGCACCCTCTCGTTCGTCTCACGACTCTCCCTCTTTCCCTATATATATATATATATATATATGTATGTATATACTCTCGTGGAGGTGATAGAGGCTTTCATTGAGAGAGAGCTTCGGTCGATTTGTGAGCGGCGAAAACGCGGGCGGCGATGGCGGTTTCTCTCGACGATTACCGTAACGCCGTGCTCGTAAAACAGATGCGCGTGCTCGGCGTCCATTATGACGTAATCCAACGCTTCTTATAATTTATCGCCGGTCGGAGAGCGAGCGAGCGAGCAAACCGGAGGGATAAATATCGTTCGAAATTTCAGTTAAGCGGCCGCATTAATTTACGGGGCGACGATTAGCTCGTCGAACTTGCCGATTTCGTTAGTTTTCAACGAGGGTTCGGGATTTAGCGCCTCTCACGACGCTTCCTCTCGTCTGGTTCTTTCGCTTTATAGCACTTTCGTCGCGTTTCCGAAATTTATGACGTTAGAACACAATTCAACTGGTGGCTCAACGGGAGCAGGTTTCGAGCGTATAACGACCCGATCCTCAACACGGGAATTTGCATTCTGTTCGGGCTTGTTGTAAGCGACTCGCAATTGGTATTTGTGTGGAAAGAAGAACTATAACGCGCGTTCAAAAGTTTCACACGAGCGCGGTCTTATCTTATACGGATCGACGTCGATCAGTTAGGCGTGACTCATTTCGCGAGAGATATATCGCCTGTTCGCGCTCGCGGGAAGTATGAGAAATGCATTAGCTTTGG